GGCGACAACCAAAGAAAAAATGACAAAGAAACACACCTCAGCCGTGGATCCTACATTCCGCTTTACACAGCAGTGTTACCAATGCTCGGCGGTGGTGCGGAAAAAAGAAAGTGACCCTCGAGTCCAACTCGACGTTTCTTACACGCGGGAGCTAACTCTATTTGCCGTGGGTTGCATGAGATATCACATCCCCCGGATCGATTCTCAAAGCTCGATTACTCCACGACGAAGAGGATGCTGAAATCAAAAGGATATGTTTTCGGAAACCTCTCCACGAGACGGTTCCGATGCCGCCATTTTTGGGCACCGTCCCTGCTTTTCCTGCCGAGAAATCGACCTTCGAAAATTGGCCCTGGGGGGGGTGACAACTTGCGTCATGCCACCTACGTTACAAACCCGTTCGCGCCGCCGGTACCAAGCCACCCTACTAGAGGCGCCACACACCTCGAGTTCGAGCTCGTCAGCACGTAGGGCGCCGTCTCTGTCCATGGCTTCCTCGTTCGCCTGGGCCAGCCTGCGGACGGCCCTCAGAGTGTCGTCCTCGCTGGACCGTAGGCGTCGCCGCAGCTCCGCAATCTCTTCCCGGAGGAGGGGGACGAGGGACGCCTCCGAAGATGCCGCCGTTGCCGCTGCTACTGCTGTTGCCACTGCTTCCGCTGCTGCTGCTGTTGTCTCCTCTGCTGCTGTCTCCTCTGCTGCTGCTGCTGCCGCTGCTGCTGCAGCTGCTGCAGTCGCCTCTGCTGCTGCTGCTTCTGCTGCTTGTGCTTCTGTTGCTGCTTCTGCGGCTGTTGTGTATGCTTCTACTTCTGCTTCTGTTGCAGTTGCTGTTGCTGTTGCTACTGCTGCTGCTGCTGCTGCTGCTGCTGCTGCTGCCGCCGCCTCTGCTTCTGTTGTCGCTTCCGCTGCTGCTGCTGCCTCCGCTTCTGCTATCGCTTCCGCTGCTGCTGCTGCCTCCGCTTCTGCCGTCGCTTCCGCTGCCGCTGCCACTGCTGTTGCCTTTGCTTCTGCTGTTGCCTCTGCTGCTGCTGCTGCTGCTGCTGCTGCTGTTGGTGTCGTTGGTGACGGTGCTACCGACGCGCCTGCTGCTGCTGGCGCTGGCGGTGCTGGTGCTTTTGTTGCCGATGGCCAGGCTTCCTCCTGCTGCTGCTGCTGCTGCCGCCGCCACCGATGGTCGAAGCTATCGCCTTCTGTCATACGCGCACGATAGCAGATCCACACGTTTGAATGGTTGCAAGTATCAGGCGGAATCGAGACCACCGACTTCTACAGGCGAAAGAAAGTCCACGACCCCCAGCAATATGTAGCAAGAAGAACAAACGAGAGATACGAAGCGACCATCAAACGTCTTCTCCCCTAAACCAACGAGCCCGCGTCAGAAATCAGCCTTCGCGCGAGAGTGTATTCCAAGAAAAACGGTATGGATATCAGTCCCAGACACAAAAGTGTTGTTGCCGGTTCAAGCGCAAGCCGTGTCGCCTTCCTTTCCTGATGACGACTACCGTACCGTACAACACCATCGATCGCGCCAGTGGCGGCGTAGTCTCCGGCATGAGGATCCAGCTCACCCCAGGAAAAATGAAGCAGGCTCGACCGACCGAACTGCAATGCCCGTGGGCGGGCTAGAACAGAACTATTATCTGCCCCCCCCCTTCCCCTGGTGTTTGCCATCGGGGTTGGGTTTTCGTCGCTTGGCAACCACGTTGTAAAACAAGCCGCCGCCCCCCGGTGTTTGCCATCGGGATTGGGTTTTCGTCGCTTGGCAACCACGTTGTAAAACAAGCCGCCGCCCCCCGGTGAATGCCCGTGGGCGGGCTAGAACAGAACTGTTATCTGCCCCCCCCTTNGGGGATGATCGCACCACGTTGTGTCATAATGGTCAAGCACCCTCGAGGCACTTACACAGTGCTGACAACTGTCCCTGGAAGTGAAAGCACCAGAAAGTAAATTAATTCATACGCAGCTGTCATCCGTACGCAAGCAAGTAAGAACAAGATGCCGAAAACCCATAGCAGGATGCAGCGCACCCTTCATGCGACTCGCCGAATATCTCACGGCGCTTCGCGCTTGGTGATGTGAGA